AATGTATATTGCTGGCGATTTCTACCTACAAATAGTTAGTCTAATGTCTATTAACTGGAACTGTGTTGCGACATGCATGTTCAGTTAGAAATCAGATGCACAATAAACTTTGACCGTTTGGACCAAAAGTTCGTTGAAAATTGTCACTTGCAAACTATCTTTCGTGGAGAGCAAACAAAATATAATCAGGAGTCATCATTACTCACCGTGAGTATCCTGTTATGTATGTTCGCAAATGCATGTGTTAGATTTGACGTTAACACTTTATTTAGAGTTCAGGAAATTTTTTCAAAGTTTTCTGACCAATTTTTTTTTTGTGTTCCTAACTTTGACCACCGATCATTTCAAATGATTCGCAAGTTGAAGTTTCATTTTTACGAAATAGAAAGTTGAATTTTCTCTGGCCAAACCTAGTGGATCTGTGGATCGTGGATCAATCGATTATATGAAACAGAGCAGATAGGTAATTATGAAACTAAAGAAATCGAGGGTTATTTTCTGTAGAACTTCTTCTCGATTCTCTAGAAATAGAGTGAAATTAACAAGAAATTAGCTGGTTAGGTATAGGTTTTTTTTTTTAAATGTGTTCTGTTTCACATCAAAGAATAAAGGTTTATTTTATTTGAAATATTAGATTTATGAATGATAATATGCAATTTCAGCGGATATAATGCAACTGATGACTGATTAGAAACAAAAAAATTATGTGATTTCCGTTAGAATTTTAGTTTTTTTGGTTAAATTTGGTTAAATAATAACATTTTGTTAATATGTCTTTGTCTTTTGGAGAAAGAATATAAATAAATGAGTTAAAATGTTGTAGTTTTCTTATTCTTAACTCGATTTTTATGATTTTTATAGCCCTAGAATTTTTTTAAAAACATTTTTAATGGTCAATTTTACTCTGTGAGGCTGTAACATTAATTTATTTCAGTTTTTAGATCAGTGGTCAAAGTTACCGTCTCAGGTCATAACTTTGACCACCAACATTTTTTTTAAAAAAACCGGTTTGTGTTAATGGAACCAAAAATATTATTTCATGTCCCTATAATATCAGGTACAGCCCCAATATTGGCACTTTTGTTTGATTTTTGTCGCCTTCAAGTAATGCAATATTGCAAGGTAAAGTTGAAAACCGGTCAATGTTATGTCACTTTACGGTATAAACAAAATTCAGAAGCTTGGGGTTGGAAACAAACTGTCAATAGATTGATGCCAATTGAAATGACCAAGAAACCTGCACCGGACACTTTATTAAGAGTCATGAGCCATCTCATGAAACTTTAAGTCATGAGCCATCTCATGAAACTGCAAAAAGGGTTGTACCGGAGTTTATGGATGTCGAAAAGCTGCCCTCAAATGTTCTATTGATTGTGGATTTTGCATTGGACTAGACTGCGAAAATCGAGATCAATATTTTTTTATTGAGAGCGAAAACGAAACATTCGTAAAAAATACAGTTGTCGAAGATGAAGATTCGTTACTATAGATTATAACATGTGGCATGGCTATCTAATAATGAGTCAGGAATTAACAGACAAATATAACAATACGGAACCAGAGGATAGAAAACGTCGAACACTATAATATAGAGGGTGTTCGTTTTAACGTTTTAAAACTTACCACTCCTATTATCTCGGAGTTGAAAAATTTTCGAAAAAATGCCTGAAACACACAACTAAAATTTGAAGGGGGATGAGTTTTCATGCAAAATTCACCTCCCATCTTTCAACCCCCCAGCCTCCAGAGCCACCCCCCCGGAGTTTAAAAAGGTGAATGTTACACAAAAACTCATCCCCCTTCAAATTTTAGTTGACATGTTTCCGTGATAATAGGGGTGGTAAGTTTTAAAATAAACACCCTGTATTGGGCCATGACATGAGACTAGGGAAATCGAACCAGGATGTTGAAATAAAGAGAAGAACACAACTAACATGGACCGCGTTCGGCAAACTAACATGCATTTTGAAAAATAAATCCATTCCCATAAACCTAAAAAGAAAACTATACGACACTCAGGGCCGTTCTTAGGCGAGTGCAGGTTATGTAGGCACAAAGGCGGCCAAATTGAAAGGGCGGCCGCAGGCCGCAGAGTCAGAAACCGTTAATTTTCGTTCAATTTCATACTTCTTTATTAAGAAGGCATTCCACAGAAACTAGCCCTAGAAAGAATTGTTGGAATACGCATGCGATGACATAAAATTTGCAAGGAATATCGCAAAGAAGCTACCTATGTAGGTACTTGCAATTTTGCCCTAAATTTCAAATGTTGCGAATTCGCTTTACTTCACAGAGGACTAATCAATAGGAGTAGTCAGTTTCCGCAATTATTTGAATGAATGAATTTTTTAAAGTTACCCGTGTTTTACCGCATATCTCATAGGTGCACACATTATTTTATTAGGCTTAAAATAATCGTTTCTTGGCCTGCCACTGGAAAAAATAAACTTTTTTTGAAGGCTCAAAATTAACGTTTTTGGGCGTGGCAACCGAAAAAATGTTTGCCTCCGGCCGGCGGCGGCGCCTGCTGCGGGCTTTTCGTCTAAAATATTTTTCGGGTTTGAAGTTTAGTCCTCCTACGCTATGTAGCCGATTTTTCAATGGGAAGTCCTAATTTAGATAAAATAATATTCACTAAAAAATGTATAGTTGTTTTGAATAGGGGCGGCTTTTTCATGCCCGCACAAAGGCGGCAGAGGGGCTAGGACCGGCCCTGACGACACTTGCATATTACCAGTGTGTACCTATGGATTAAACACCATGTCCTTCACCAAAAAATTCGCTAAAAAATTGGAAACCACCCAAAGAGCGATGGAAAAAAACATGCTTGGAATATCATTAACAGACAAAAATGAGAAACACCGATATAAGACGCAAAACGAAATCCAGACATTGTGGAGGAGGTAGCAAAGATGAAATGACGATGGGCTGGCCACAGCCAGATATGATGAGGACAGATGGACATAAAGACTCCTGGAATAGAGACCAAGGGAGACAATAAGAAGCATGAGAAGACCGCAAAAAAGATGGGTGGACGACATAAAGACAGTGACAGGTTAACTTTGGCTGAGATTGGCGAAGGATAAAGAAAGATGGAAACAATTAGAAGAGACCTAAATGCACGAGGGAATAAATATAAATTGACAAAGAATAAAATAAAGGAGAGATAATATGTGGATTAGGTCTACTGAAGATACAACCACAATAAAAAAAGCGCGCCATTTATTCTACCGCTTGGTGGTGTGGAAATGAATATTTTGATGTTTGGTCACATTAAATCACAATATCTTTACCAGAAATGAAAATGGCCTAATGGCTATACAATTTTATATAGTACCTAAGTACTAATTGATATACAGGGCAAAGATTAGGGTGTCCCACGACGTTTTTCCCAGGCAATAACTTGGGAACGCGTCCTCCAATATAATTGAAATTTTGAGGATCTGGGTAACTTTTTGTGCCGCTTCTATCATTGTCATCCAATTTCACCACTTTCGCTTCAATTTCGGTCAAGTGACGTCAACTTTCGAATCTCAAATGTAATTTATGCTATATTATAGCATTTTTCGTTAGAAAATTAAATTACAAAATCGGCAATGCCGTATTTGTTAAGGCTTTGTTAAAGAAAATGATAAAAAATTATACAGTGGAACATACGATGATGCGTTCCGAAGTTATCATTTGGGAAAAACCTCGTGGGACACCCTGTATATACAGGGTGAGTTACTAAGCGCGCGGTGGTCCATATCTCCTATACTAACGGAGATTGCAGAAAAAACTAAATACAAAACTTGTAGATAAACATGAGTACTACATTCCTAAATTATTTTCCAGTATACACGGTGGCCCAATAACTAGTAGTGACACAAAATTATGTTTTTTTAAATGACTCTCCCTGTATATTATGACATTTCTGGATTCTGCGGAAAATTCTAGACATATTTCATGTATAATGTCATATACCTATCTTCAACCATTTCGTAAATATTGACAGTTGAAAATTGACTTTTTTGCATCCTTCAGAGACTCTGAAACCTAAACGGTTAACTTTAGAGGAAAACGGATTTTACATTCCTGTCTTAGATTTTCATAAGCTATCATTTGGCACCAACTTTGAATTTAACCGAAGATTAATAATTTAGGCGGAATTTTTATTCATGGATTAAATTCAAGATTGGTGGCAAATTATAGTTTATAAAAAACTAAGATAGGAATGTAAAATCCGTTTTCCTATAAAATTAACCGTTTAGGTTTCACAGTCTTTCAAAGATGCAAAAAAGTCAATTTTCAACTGTCAATATTTGCGAAACAGTTGAAGATAGGTATATGACATTATACATGAAATATGTCTAGAATTTTCCGCAGAATCCAGAAATGTCATAATATACAGGGGGAGTCATTTAAAAATTTTGTGTCACTACTAGTTATTGGGCCAACCTGTATACTGGAAAATAATTTAGGAATGTAGTACTCATGTTTATCTACAAGTTTTGTATGTAGTTTTTTCTCCGGTCTCCGATAGTATGGGAGATATGGACCACCGCGCGCTTAGTATTATTAAGTAAATTTCATCGTTTTTCAATCGTAATTATTTGAAAAACAGAACAAATATAGTAAACATGCAAATTAAAAAAAAAAACTTTTTGTAGCTGGAGCTCATTACAGATGACGACAGCTACAAAAAAAAGTTGTACTTATCTAAAAATTGTAGAAAAATCAATTTTCTCACTTTTTTCCTAAAGTTGACCGTTCACGAGTTTTATCAGAAAAACCATTTTCCTCCATACTAAATTCAAGATGGCGGAGGAAGCCGCCACCCCCCCCCCCCCCCCAAGGTCGAAAACTCAAATTTTTGTTTACCGCTTCAATCTGAACAACATATGTCAAAATTGCGACTACCCCACCTTTTGCAAGCTGAATTTCTCTAATGCCTGGACTATTATCATTAATAACCAACTTGAACTAGACAAGTCGACTAAAAGAGATAAATAATTACTTACTTGTTCAAAATATCAAGTTCTCCCTTAACAACCTTCAAATGCTGATTTTCCTTCGAACCAAATTCATCAGTGTCATCGGCCACATAAAGTGGTAGCACGTGTAACTGTTCATCTCCACACTTGGAAGCTGAAGTTGCATCTTTGTGTTTGGTCAAAGTCACAACGGCCGTGCACCCATCAACCATATTATGGATGTCTTTATGCGCGTGAGCACAAAAGTCTATGCAAGCAGTCACTCCAGAAAATGGTCGTCCTGGTTTGGTACCCAAGCGACAATCGGTTGCAAAGTTTTCAAATTTAGTTTGATTCATGAAAGATTGTGGAGCTAATTTCTTGTATAGTGGATTTACCAGGTCAGCTAGATTCTGGATTTTCTCTTCCATTATGGCCTCTTCATCTTTTGAGCTCAGCCTGAACTTTCTCACGTCCTTTGAACGAGTAAATTTGCACCCATTGTAGTACATACTCCAAGAGCAACCAAACGAAAAACTCGCTCCGCAAGTGTCTTCATCGATGCCTTGGCAAGCGCAAGTACGAGGCTCATTAGTAGCACAACGTCTTTTTGTTGGAAGCCCAAATTTGTTCAGTTTTTCCGTTAAATAAGAATAAAGTTCATCTGCGTGAGGTCTAGTGACTCCTTCCCAGACTACAAGGCAAACTACCAAGAAAGCTGAATGGCAAGTGTGACCGGTTCTATGTTTGACTAATACTAGGTATTTTTCTTCTAAACTTATACGACGATGGATCTGGAAGAAAACGATTCTAGAATATTATCATCCAATAGTCAAAGTAAGAGGATAAAACTTACCCATTTTCCTATTGGACATCCCTGTGCAGTCTTTCCTTCCTTTCCAGTATATTTGATTTTTTCCATTCTGATAGCTGCTCCTCTTACACCAGTTTGAGTTTCCAAGGAATCACGCAAAGTATTTAGGCTATTGGCACAGCCTAGATGCGTATAATAAGCTCCTGGTTCAGGTGAATTTTGTTCAGAAGGAAAACAGTTGCACTGTGGTATTTCCTCTCCAATCGTTTTTGTGGGAGATTTTTCTGGTTTTCTAGCTCCACTGCTATCAGGGATGAAAAGGGTTTTCGGAAAAAGTTTTTTCTTTTCGTGCCGCCACGTTTGAGAGGATTCTGGTGAAGCAAACATTGTTGGCGAGTAGGAAAGTTTTTCTTGGGGTGACTGCAGTCGAGATGTAGAAGGCGAATCGTTAGGATATAAAATACTCGGAGAAGGTTTTTGGTCTATATTTGGGGATTGTTGGGTATATGGAAAACTAGCACTGGATATAGTTGGAGAAAATAATTTCTGGTCTGCATTTGCATGAGTTAATGTGAAAACAGAAGACTGGCGATATTGTGGATATGAAGAATCAATTGTTTGTGTTGTAGATAGTGGATGATCAATATTTTCTTTTTCTTGATTCATGGGATTCAAATTGTTACTTGTAGGAACATTATTAGAAAATCTATTAGGAAGCTCGTTGTTATTTGCCGACGAAGACTTAAAATTATTTTGAGCAAATTTTTGAGTATTCTTTGATTGTTGTTGGTTTTTGGGGGGGCCACCATCAACACTTAGCGACGGATCTAAGTGATGATGGTGGCTATACCATAAAAAATGACCGGTATTTTGTTGGTTTTGTTGTTGTTCTTTCATTTCCTGTTCTATCTTACTGGCATCGTTTTGCTGATGTTTATTCAATATCATCGTTTTGATTCGCGTGTTTAAATTAACTTTGTCCGCCTGAGAAAACGTCTTTTGCGGACTGTCTATTGGTGACGAAGTCCTATCGGATTGTTGCATATAGTGTTGCTCGTTTTGCTGATGCTGATACTCGATTTTGTTGCCATCGTTCCGTTCCCATAGTTGGTGGTCATCTTGCTGCCATTGCGATTGGTTATTTTGTGGTTGTCCGCTAAACTGCTCGCTGCCTGGGTAACCACTAGAGTTGTGTGAAACTACCTGCGGACTGCTGGCGTTCACTTGCGGATACCCAGGCTGACCGTTTCCCGAATTCGCATTAACATATTGGGTTTGTTGCTGCTGCTGTTGTTGGGAACTGGGACTAAAATTTGCAGTGCTTACTGTTGCGTAAACAGTTTGTTGCTGACTAGATTGTTGCTGCTGCTGCTGTTGTTGATTGCCTTGTTGCTGATAGTTCTGATTTGGTGTTTGTGGGTTCTGATTAATAACACTATTAACCTAAAATATATATGATAACATGACAAAATAATTCAATGGAAGATTATTGAATCACTTACCGAACTCGGCCTGGATTGAGATCCTTCATTACCGGAAGTATTAGAGCCAAACTGATTGTAATCTTGATACTGCTGCCTGTTAGCATTTTGCTGGTTTTGTTGTTGAGCAGCAGGGCTTGGACTAGGCGTGTGAGCGTAATTTGAATTTGGTCTTGCTGGTATCATTTGTACTTGTTGTTGCTGCTGCTGCTGATTTGGCACACTAAGCAACAAACTAAGTGAGCTTCAAATGAAAAAATTCCAAAAATTAGGGCTTCTTACCTCGGAGGCCTATTATTGGTGGGTGTTAAAACCTGAACAGCACCAGTGTAGAAAGCGTTTGTTTCAAAGGCCGGTTGCTGATAGGTGGTTTGGTAAATTCCGTTTGGGTATTGTTGATAAGTATCGATTGGTTGGGCAGCCGATGGGATTTGCTGGATGAATTGGCCTTGCCAGCCCGATACTACAGAAATAAGCGCTGATTATGATGACTATTTAGTTTTTAATAGAAATGCCTACCTTGTGATGGGTCAGCTTGCCACACTGGAGTGGGAAAACGGTTGGGATCAGCGTAGAAAGGCATCGGGGTCTGCAAAAAAATACAATTCATTCATTTACTATTACTATGCTTGTAGTAATAATATAGAGTCCTTTCCATTCATAAATCACTTGCTGTCTACTCTTGCCTCGTGCGGTTTTGACAATGATGGTCCTCAACTCCTTTTGTCGTTTTTTTTTTTTGGGAGTTGTATATTAGATATATATATACATATATAAATGACATATTACGATTTCGTTATGCCCCAAGGGGAGTTGGGAAAAGAGGCTCGGACGTAAGCGACCTGCCCTAACGGTAGGGTGTTTATACGACGGACCCTTTTATTCCCTTGAAGCTATCAAATGGGGAATCTCTCTGCTTCTTTTCCCCCTAAAAACAGGCAGGACGGCTCAGCTGATGATAACACGGACTTTTATTTCAAGGTTAATGTTGGGCACATTTTTCCAGGAGAGAGGAGAAGAACATTTTTCCGTTCCCCCCTTTTGGCAGCTGGGGAGGTGAAGCCAATATGTTTACATTAGAAAGAAGTATTTATACTTATGGAGCGCGATGAAGTGCTGAAATGGGGAAATAGGAGAAACGACAAGAGAAGATTAGAAAACTTTTTAAGAGTCAAAAGTAAACTTTTCTATGATTCTTCTTGATGCACAAGTTGAAAAAAGGCAAGTTAAGTTTACTTTCATTAGAAAGATTTCCCAGTCTCAGAAAAACCTCTGAAATGTTCTTTCTGTATTTCACAGGAAGAAAATTATTGATTGTTTTTCTATGCGAGAACTCACCATAGGTTGTTGCTGGACGGGCATGGGCTGTGTAACTGGTTGAGGACTAGGTCTCGCGGCTGATTGCTGATTGGGTAATCCTGCACCGCCGTTAGTGTCAGCTGCGGATGGTAGTCCTGTGTTTAGAGGCGTGATCGGACCGTTGGCTTTACGACCTCGGTAACTCTGAAAAAAAAAATGGTATGTGTTATTATTTATGTATTCAGGTAGCTTATAAATAAAATTAATTTTTTTTCTTTTGATGAGCCCATTGGTATAGAATTGGTTTGCTCTTTACAGTCTTTTTACCTACATAATGGCATTCACCACCGAATCTGTAATTTTGTAGCAAAAGGGCATTTCATATACTGTCGATGTCTATAGAAAATATAATATGTCCTCATAGGCAAATGAAACATGGATAAATATAATAGTTATTTATGTATCAAGGGAATTATGAGGATGTTAATACCCCAGGGCAAAGTTTGTGGGTACCAATTGCCCGTGGGTATTAACACCTGATAATTCCCGTGGTACATAGATAATTTTATTTCCTACTGAATTTACTGTATTTTGTCCATTTTTATAAAGAAATAAACCATAAACCAAAATTTCTATTTTTTGTCAAAGTTTCACCTATTCAAGGTAAAAGCGGGAGTTATGGAAATCCTTAACTCCCTTGGGAGTTAAGACCCTGTTTATGACTATCGTAATCTTATTCTTTGTTCCAGATTGTCCTTCTGGTCTATTTTAGCAACCTCTCCTCTAAATAACACTAAAGAGAATGATTCAATGTCAAGTCTGGAAGCTCATGGTGGCGATGCAATTGCTATCTATCCAATGATTTGAAAAAATTTCATCCAAGTATATTTTCTAACACGCAATTATACTAAAACATGCACGTTGCTGATGGGAAATGCACGCAATATCTTCATTAGGAAAAACGACCATGTATCAAATGAATACTGAGAAATTGTAGGTGCCTCTTCAGGAGTCAAATTTTCTTTGAAGAACTATAGTCTCGGGGTCAATATGTGTGTGATATACCTTTGATATCCAGTGAGGTTTTTCTTGAGATCAGTATCATTCTATTGTCCATGTTGACTAGTATTTGTCAAATAATAATATTATTGTTACGAAATTACATTGGTGCGAAGAAGCCGACTTCACTGTTAGGATCCTAGCGTGAATATTGAGGAATTTGTTCCATTGTGCCTCTTTTCTGGACAGTATCCACAAACACGACGGATAATAGTGTTAGCATTTATAAAAATTAGGACATTACGTTAAGTTCTTTCCTCTAATATTCCAATACACATTTTCTGGGGGTTCAAATTCCTAGATCTCGCTTTTCGAGGTTCCCCATAGGTGAAAGTCGTGATGTCTGGGGACATAGCTGGCCAGAAAACTGGACCAGAAATAATTCGGTCTTCAAAATGTTTTCGCTGAACCTGCCTAGTATTATGCGCAGGAGAACCATCATGATGAAACCATATTCATCTTAATAGGTTTTCCGGAAAGGACAGTTATTAGGGCTAGTATAATTTGATTGATCAGTTTATCACCCAGCACCATTTAAGTTTTCATTGGAGATGAAGGAACCAAGAAGATTTCCGTCCATTTCTGATAATGATATTCAATTCCATTTGAAAAAAGATGGATGAGGATGATGAACTTAGATATCTATCAATCCGCACCATACATTAAATTTGAACCGAATTTGGTTTCTCCTTTCCGCGATTTAATGTGGATTTTAGAGCGGTTGACACGGTCCAAGTGTACTTGGATGGCAACTTGTACCAGTAAGTTGGCAGCCAGCCTACTTACTTGGATGTTAGTACCCAGGGTTGCCAACTCTCCGGTTTTGCCCGGAGTCTCCGGATTTTCAAGGTTATTCTCCGGTCTCCGGAATACATGTGATAACACATTGTAAGCTCAAATTGCGCAATATAAATTATTTCGCGAATTAACCAAATACTGGCAAATACAGAGAGAACGTGAAAGAAGGTCTGTTTTGATAGATTTGTTTTCACCGAAATCACAAACCAGTCAGAGCGAATTTCATTGGTTGAAAATAGTCAGAAAAGTGGTTGTTGGCGATTTGCACCAATCAAAAACGCTCTGACTGGTTTCTGATTTCTGTGAGAGCAGACCTAGAAACGAAACACAGCTCATGGGATTATGGGAGGTGATTTGCGTCACATGGCAAAAAATAAGAAAATTTTATTGACTATTAGAACTGTCAAAAAAATGTCTTTAACATTGTAGGTATACCTAGATTTTAATAGGAGGAATAATGTTTTATTTTTGATTTTTTTATGTTTGCTGGGTATTGAAACAGCAACTTTCAGTTAACATATTTTTGAGAAACGCCATTTTTATTTCAGTCGCGGAAAAATCTCCAGGTGAACCAATTTCAGGAGTTGGCAACCGTGTTGTACCTATCCAACTGGATAAACAGTTTATATCGGGTCTTCAAAATAAAAAACAATCAAAGATTGCTATGGTTTTTTGAACGTATGTCTTAGCAATATTTGTCTTTAATTTTGTCAATGAAATTTAATGTCAAAATGTCCTGTCAAAAATCCTGACGAATAAAGAAACAGTAATGCGACGTACGTTTTCGTAGTCAAAGCAATCTTCGATTGGTTTTTTTTTGAAGACCCGATATTATCCAAGTATTGGACCGTGTAAACCTGGCTGTTAAGTTGGAAAGGTCCTAATAGTAAGTAGTAAGTACCTAAGTAGGCTGGCTGCCAACTTACTTGGTCCAAGTTCTCATCCAAGTGCACTTGGACCGTTTCAACCTAACTTTAGTTATAAACTATCTAGTCTCTGCTTGTTGCTTACAAATATTTTTCTTGTTATTGAGAGTTGCGAGTGTATCTTCCGAGGTATCTTCTTTTTTGAGTCATGTCATTCTATCATGTTTTTATTTCCATATTAGTACAAACTCGTGTATTTTTCCGAGTCTTTTTTTTTATGGAAAAATACATACAACTTTGTCAGATTTTAAGATTTTCATGTGAAAAATATTTCAGTTGGATATTGCCGAAAAATATCAAAATTTGGTCAACATGTTAATACATCATTCGAAAGGTCCTTTTAAGTACCTACTCATGATACTAGGTAGGTAGGTACCAAGGTTCCTGAAGTAATTAGGTTGTCTGGTAATGGAGGGTACCTTTGATGACGCATCTGGGGTGCCTTATGGATATATGCATTGAGTTGAGGTACCCCAGATGACGTCATAATGTTATCAGGCAACCTACCACACCACTCTCGAACAACTTTGGGTAGGTACAAAATTGGGTTTGTTCCAACACGTCAAAAACCGTCCCATGAACGGTTTCGAAACCACATACGAATTTCGGGTTCTACGCACAAATTTTTGACTTTGCGCAGAATCGTGACGGTACATTGTACGGTTTCTTGTTGTGTTGGAACCAATGAACTAAACAAACACACTGGAACGGTGGCTGCATAATTGTTTCTACGTATGGGCTTGTGCCAGGAAGGACAACAAACAAGAGGGATTTGCATCTCTCTCTGCACTATGGCGGCTATTAAGAACAGCTGTTTGAAGTGTTTGGATGGTTGAGGTAAGGAAGATGAAGAATGTCTTTCTTTCTTTTACATTAATCGCAATGAGTGCGAGTGAGAAAATAATCCCACCGTATTGTTGGGTTGCATACATTAAAATTTGGCACATAAAGCAGTGCGCCCGTTCCAGAGTATTTGTTTAGTTCATTGGTTGGAACAAAGCTAATGTATGACATAAAAATCCAAAATGGCGACTATGTTTCCCAATAATGTCAAATCAATAGTTTTTGAGATATCAGGTAGGAGATTCTCATCCTCTAGTCGCAACCTATCGTCCCGACTATCCCATTGCCTTTCTACGGGTGAGTCGGGACGATAGGTTTGCGACTAGAGGATGAGAATCCTCCCTCTGCCAATTTTAAGCGATTGACGTCGGTCATCTTGGCAGATAAGCAATGCATTTAACGAGTGATTTAACGTCAGTTAAGACGTTAAGACCAATTGATTGACAAATGACGCTTAATTAATGGTTTATCTGTCAAGATGACCGATCGGCCAATCGCTTAAAATTGGCAATATATCAACTTATGAACAATAATTAAATTCACCGATATTCAGTTCTATGTTCTAATTATTTTTATAAAATTCTCTAAAACTTTGTCTTCTCTAAAACCTAATTGAAATGACTCTCTATCTTTTATAATAAGGATGATCGATATTTAATATGGGCTGTATAAACCACATACATAATAGGTAATTTATTTATTTATTTATAAACATAAACAAAATATCAAGTGACATACCTTTAATTTAGTACCTTCTTCTAGCACAGCACTAATAGAGTATTTTATTAAAAAAAATGATTAGCTATCTTGATTATCTTGAAACTCTACAACATTGGCTAATAAATAAATAGCTGGACTCATCAATTATTACGTTTGAAGCTAATAGAACAACCTCAGATATAGAGGTAATTATTTTTCTATAAATATATTAATAATCTATCAAGGTGAAAGTCAAAAACCCGTATTATTATCTCGACTATTTTTCAGTTCCGTCCGAACTTGGAAAAAATCGAAATGTTCTATACCTTTTCAGCGCTCGACGACCCCAAACAAGGAATATTTTTATACCTAAAGCTTCCGCTTCCCTGAAATAAAGCTTTCGTTTTTTATGCCGTAAGCTGCAATGCTGCAAACTGTAGGACCGATGAAACGTAGGTCTTAGCTGAGGAGCGTTTTACTTCGCCTGCGCTCTACATCAAATGTTTTCCTTGGCCTTTTGCTTCTTTTAGAGGTTGAGAACTATCGATGATAGCATATAGCACTATCGATAGTATTACTACTAACGAACGTATTTATTCGATAGTTTTTTTGATTGTTTTCGAGTCTATTCATTAACCGAAGACATGGCATATAACTGGAGTGGCAAGAAAGGTATTGATTCCCTAATAATTACCATCTATTCTAAAAGACAAATTATACGAGGAAACGAAAACACTGAAAGCTGTGGGGTAGTTGAAAAACTTTACGGTTACCTACTACCTACTACACATGTTTTTGAATTCAAAATATCACCTCTATGTAAAATCTGTTTTTTTTTTAAAGATAAAAGTCAAAATGACATTATGTTGGCAATACAAT